AGGCAGGCGGATCTCTGAGTTCAAGGCCAGCCCAATCTATATAGTGAGTTCTAGGACAACTGGAGCTACAGGGAGACCCTATCTCAAAAAGACCAAAAAAAAAAAAAAAAGATGATGTGTTTATTTCAGCTTATAGTCCAAAGGGATACAGTCCATCACGGCAGGATGTCATGCAACAGGGGCAACTGGTCACAGTGCACCTGTAGTCGGGAAGAAGAGGGAAATGACATGAATGTTCCTGTCCAGCTCTGTCTATTCAGGACTCCAGCCCATAGTATGGACCTTGTGTCCACAGTATGGTGCTGTCCACACTGTGGTGCTGCCCATGGTGTGGTGCTGTCACCGTGGACTCATCATTGCACCTCAGTTAACCTAATGAAGCTAATCCCTCTCAGGTATGGCCAGAGGCTAACATACTCCAGATACTCCCTCAGGCCATGCCTAGATGTGTTGCCCAGGTGATTTTAGATCCTTTCAAGTTGGCAGTCAGCAATCACCATCATGGCTAGATCTCAGGGTTAGATCATTGTACCTCAGTTAGGTCATCACTCTGTCACTCCCAGAATCCTCAGGGTTAGGCCATTGCTGAGGCCGCCTCAGTTAGGTCATGGCTACTCAGGAGTCTCCCTCCAAATTAGGTCATTGTTTCTCAGAAGTCTCAGGTAGGTCTTGACTCCACAAAAATCTCCTTACAAAAGTCCTTCATCCAGAAGTCTCAGGGTTAAGTCATCGCTTCCTCCCAAGTCTCCTTAGATCCTGTTCTAAAAGTCTCCTCAGGGTTCTGTCATCACTGAGTTCTCCTCAGTGGCCTCTGTCCTGGGGGTCTACTTGGATTTGAGTCTTTTTTTTTTTTTTTTTTTCTTTCTGAGACAGGGTCTCAGTGTAGCCCCAGCTGGCCTGGATTTGCTATGGAGACCAGGCTGTCCTCACAGAGATCTGCCTGCTTCTGCGTGCGCCACCATGCCCGGCCTGGACTTGAGTCTTCATGCCTCTGAAAATCTCAGGGTGAGGTCGCTTCTGTAGAAGCCCCACATTGCGTTGTCCTTGCTCCAGGATAGGTCTCCCTCAGGGAGAGACAGCTGACTCCAGGAGCTTAGTTAGGTCACAGCCTTTGGGAACCAAGGTCACCAATCAGCTAAAAGCCTTGAGGATTAGGTCATCACCAACAATATGGCTCATCAGTCGTCTCTCTCTGGAGGTTTCCCAGTTCTCTGGGGAGTCTGCTTGAGCTGTTCGAATCTCATCATCTATTTTCTGACTCTTTTTTAGAGACAGGGTCTCCCTGTAGTGGGGCTGGCCTGGAACTCACTATGTAGACCAGGCTGGCCTTGAACTCACAGAGCTCCACCTGCCTCTCTGCCTCCTGAGTGCTGGGGTTAAAGCACGCCAGGCTATTTTCTGACTTGGTTTTATTTTGAGTTGGTGTTTTGTGGGGCTGGGGTGTCGCTCCATGGTAGACTGCTTCTCTAGCACGCATGAAGCCCCAGGTTCGATCCAGAGGTGGGTGGTTGGGGGAGCCTGACCCCAGCCCCCATGATTGGGAATAGCAGGTACACCATGGGATGCTTGGCTCCTTCCTGCCTCTGCTTTCTCTCTGGTTCGGGTCCAGTGTCCTGGCTCCACCATTCAGCTCTTCCATCCCTCAACTTTTCACCCTAAGACTCCGCAGCTGCCAGTCTGTGTCCTGCTCATTATCCTTAGAGGGGGCACAGCAGGCAGGACAGTGAGGGTCTGGAGCTCTCTGCCCATGCCCTGTCTTTTTCCTATGAATGCTTTTTAACCTAGGTGAGCTGGCATCCTACGTGTTGCTTTAAGAAAACAGAGTGGGCCGGAGAAATGGCTCAGCAGTTAAGACTGCACTGCTCTTGCAGAGAACCCAAGTTCACTCCCCAGACCCACATTAGGCAGCTTATAACTGCCATGATGACTCCAGCTCCAGGGTGTCAGACCCTCTCATCTGGTTTCTGAGGGCACTGCACTCATGTACATATACCCAAAGCGTGCATGGGCACACATGCGTGCACACATACTTAAAAATAAAATCTTTTTTAAAGAAAGAAAACATGATAACAATACAATATTTCTTCATGCCTATAAGTGCTACTATATAATGGGGGTAACAACTGTGGTGACACCATAAGTATGTATGTAATTTAAAATCTTGGGGCTGGAGAGATGGCTCAGCGGTTAAGAACACTGGTTGTTCTTGCAGAAGACCCAGGTTCAAATCCCAGCACTCACATGGCAGCTAACAACTCTCCGTAACTCCAGTCCCAGGGGATCCGACAGCCTCTTCTGACCTCCGTGGGCATTGCACAACACAGGTGCACTTACCTACATGCAGACAATACACACATACACGTAAAATAAAAATAATAAAATTTTTTTAAAAGTTTAAAAAAATCTTTTCTGGGTTGTTAATTTTACATGTATGAGTGTATTACTTGCGTGTAAGTGCACCCGTGTCATGCAATGCCCATAGAGAGCAGAAGAGGCTGTCAGATCCCCTGAAACTGGAGAGCTGGGTGCTGGGATTTGAACCCCAGACTTCTGCAAGAACAGCCGGTGTTCTTAACTACTGAGCCATCTCTCCAGCCCCTCTGGGTTTATTTTTATGTTACGAGTGTTTTGCCTGAATTTATTTAAGTACACCAGTGTTGTGCAATGCCCAAAGAAGCCAGAAGAGGATGTTAGAACCCCTGGAGCTGGATTATATACAGTTGTTAGTGGTCATACAGGTGCTGGGAACTGAACTGGGGTCCTCTGCAAGAGCAGCTTAACCACTGAGCCATCTCTCCAAATCCAAAATCTTTTTTTTTTCCGAAGGAAGAGAACATAGTAAGAATACAGTATTTCCTTGTGCCTGTAACTGCTACATACAATCTCATGGGGTAACAACTGTGGTTAGACCATAACAGGCTTTAAGGTACTATCACTGGCCTTCCTTGAGCTGCTGGGTGGGGGGTGGAAGGACAGTTACTTTGTATCCTTGGAGAGAATCTCCCCTGGGAGCAAGGAGTTGAAAGGGGGGTTGCTCACAGGCTGACATCTAGGGAGGCATCAGAGGGAATGATGACTTCAGAGGTTGTTAACCTTGGGTTAAGTAGAGGAGTGGAACGCCCTTCCCTGTGTGTTAAATCACCCTCCCCTGCTCTAGAACAGGTCCGCAGCACCCCAGCTGATTCCCTAACTCAGGACAGCTCTACTGAGCTGACATCTAAAGGGCAGGGTGTCTTATCACCTCACTGGGGAGGAGCAGGGCAGGAGAGACCACCCCTGGGATCGTACAGGCTGAGGGTTGCAGCAGGAAACTGAGCCCAAGTGCCCTGCTAGGGCAGTTCCAGGACTGGTGCTGCAGTGTGGAGGGAAGGTCACAGGTGGCCTGAGGGAACAGGACGAGCAAATACCCCTGTAAGAATCCTCCTCGCTCCTGGGCCTGCAAAGTCACTGTCTGCAGTGACTCCGGGGCTGAGGTGAAAGAAAGGCCAGCCTTTTGTGAGCATTGGCGCAAAGGCCATGTCAAACAGGAAGTAGCAGGTGTGCTGGGCTCCTGCCCCAGAGAGACTGGTCACTCCAGGTCTGGGCCTGTGTCTGCTGGCTTGTACTTCCCCCGTCCCTTCTCACCTCTGTCTCAGGCTTCCCCAGATGGTCCTAGTGCTGTCCCAAGTGACCATCCCAACAAGGCCACCTCATGTGCCATGCCTGCCCGCAAACTTGGGGTGGCTCCTCTTATCTACAGGCATCTTCATGCCCAGGTCCCCTGATGTCCTACCCATGCCACCAGCTGCTGAAGCCAGCCCATGCCAGAGCATAGGTATCAGCCCTGGGGTCTGTGGAGGTCAGACCCTCACTCAGCTGGGTTTAGGGAGAGTGCTAGAATCCCCTACAGACACAGCAGCACATCAGGAGGCCTTTGCAGCCCAGCCCAGAGCCTTCCAGCATCGCTAAGCACACCAAACCCTTGGGCTCACCGTTTCTTTTTTCTCTTTTTTTTTTTTTAAGACAGGGTCTCCCTGTAGCCCCAGCTGTCCTGGAACTCACTATATGGACCATGCTGGCCTTGAACTCACAGAGATCCACCTGCCTCTGCCTCCCGAGTGCTGGGATTAAAGGCGTGCGCCACCACGCACGGCAATATTTTTATTTTTATGAGCATGAGTGTATTGCTTACATGTGTGTAAGTGCACCTGTGTCATGTAATGCCCACAGAGGTCAGAAGAGGGCATTGAATCCCCTAAAACGAGTTATGGAAGGTCAGCCACCATGTGGGTGCTGGGAATCATATCCAGGCCCTCTGCGAGAGAGCAGCCAGTGTTCTTAACTGCTGAGCCATTTCTCCAGCCCCAAAGGCTCTCCATTTCTGACCAGCTATCAGCAGTGCTGAGGCTGCTGAGCATGAACTGTGCCTGGAGGAGTGAGGACCAAGTTCCTGTGCCTTGGAGCAGAGCCTCTGGCCTATGCCAGTTCTAGAAGCCCATGGTCCAGTTCTGGGGTATTCATATCTGACTGTTCACCTCCATCACTCAATGAGATTGTTCTTAAATCTGGGTTTTAGGCTATGACCCAGTACATAGACACATACCTACACTATGTACAAAATAATCACAATACTGACCTCAGTGGGGTACAGCCTGGTCTCTCTGCCAGTGTCCTGCCCAGTCCTGTGTGTCTGCAGCACCTCCTGCTGATGATGCTGTTCCCCTGGCTTCCTCACTGGTCCAGGCTGAACATAGTCCTTTCGGGAAGTCTTCACAGGGTTATACAGGGATGTGAGCTGCCTGCTCCAAGAGGCCTCTGACAGCCCTGTATGCTGCCTGTGCTCCAGTTGTGACTAGAGGGCCTGTGGCAACCTTCAGGTAGAGGCCCTGAAATCTGGAATGAAGATCCCAGAATTCTGGCTGTGAATTTGGCCAAATCTTAATGGATGTGAACCATGGCCACATGGAGGGCACTACCATGTGACTATGCACAAGCCCTGCTTACCGGTGTTCCTCCTCCAGATGCTGGATGAGAACCACCACCTAATCCAGTGCATCCTGGACTACCAGAGCAAGGGCAAGACAGCGGAGTGCACCCAGTAAGTAGCTACCAGCCTGAGCACGCCCCATCCCTTGTGGTACATGGCCTCATGAGTACAAGTGAGGCAGGAAATCTCACCATCAGGGCTTGAGGCAAACGTGGGTGGGGTTTCTATAGCCTGCATCCCTGGGGCCAGGGTGGACCCAGTCAGGGGGATACTCAGTGCTTCTGGATTGGCACAGTAGGCATGCTGTCCTAAGGCCTACCTGGTGGGGAGGGGGGCGCTTTAGGACCCTCCAGGTACCGAGTGTGAGAAGCCTAGTACCCTGTCTCATGTGACGTGGGTAAGAGGCTTTGGGTCCCCACCTGGTGCAACTTAACCTGAAGGACCTGAGACTGCCTGGTGTGTTCTTCGGGTGAGATAGAGTCCTTGGGCCTCTGAGCCCTTCCCATTTCCCTCCGGGGCTTCTCAGGGTGTCTGTTGCTATGGAATCAGCCCCGATAGTTCCCTGTTGGTCTGTCATCTTTAGTCCCTGTTCCTCCCTGTGACCTCTTCCTTTCCATTTTCTGAACAGACCAGTGCCATCTTTGTCTTGGTTCATATCTCAGGTCTTTCCAGGTTCTGTTGTGGGACGGAAGCCCGTTTGGGGTCTGGCTGGACCTGTGCCCTCCTTGCCCCTTCCTGAACCGTGAGAGTTGCCAGCTGCCTGTTTCCAGCCAGGCCTGAGCCAGTGTGTTATCAGGGCCAATGTCCTGATAGAGTTTGGCTGTAGGTCAAGGCTGACTTGGTTAAAGTTTGCTTCTCCCTCGGGTCTTACAGTTTGTCCCTTTCTCTGTCTAACCCATGCACCTCTCCCACAGGTACCAGCAGATCCTGCACCGGAACCTGGTCTACCTGGCCACAATAGCAGACTCCAACCAGAACATGCAGTCGTTGCTTCCTGCTGTGAGTACTATAAGGTGGGGGGTGAGGTTAAGGGGCTGCTGTGAGTACTACAAGGCAGGGGGTGGGGCTGCCAGTTCCAGAGTGTCACCCCAGGTAGCACAGGTGACCAACAGGAATCCAGTACCAGGAAGCATCCCAAATCAGGGGTTCAGAACACCATGACATCCCCCATGTCACACAGGAGTGAGGATACAGTGGAATTAGGGCTCAGCCTACTCAGTGAAGGAAACTGACCCCAGAACCAACTTCAGGAATGTCGGGCAGACAGTAAGGAGCAGGAGGAGGATTCTTGCTCTTTTCTCATTTTTTTGTGGAGCTGAGACTCGAACCCAGGGCCTCGTACATTGCAGCACCTCTGAACAGTGCAAGCAGTGCATGTGGGTTCCTTGCCAGGATCAAAACCAAATCTTGCCTGGCAAGATTTGTGCATGCCTTTAATCCCAGCACTTGGGAGGCTGAGGTAGGAGGATTGCTGTCACTATGTGACTGAGCCACATAGTGAGTCCTAGGCTAGCTGAGGCTACATAGCAGAAATCCCATCTCAGAAAAAAAAGGAAGAAAAAAAAGTTAACGGAGAAAAAAATCCCTTGTGGTAATGGTCCAGCCATTAACATAAATATTTCATTGTCTGTTTGATTTTCTTTAAATACGTTTTCCCCCAATTACATTTTCACTGAATTCAGATTGCATGTCTATGGCCACAAGAGAAACCATAGCCAAAGGAGGAAACCACCCAGGATGACCATGGCTAGCCACACAGTGCCAAAGCAGATATGCCACCAGGAATGGATCCCCTCCCTGTGCCCCGTCTCCCCTAGAAAGTGGAGGTTTTATAAATGGCAGGATCTGTTTTCCTAGTGAAAAGCATTGATCCAGCCTGCATCATCTGCTCAGAGCTTCTGCTAGAAGACTCCCCTTCTCCAGGCCTTCCACATGTCAAACTGTCCTCTTTTTACTTTAAAAAATTTTGAGCCCAGGAGCTGGAGAGCTGGCTCAGCGGTTAAGAGCACTGGCTGTTCTTGCAGAGGACCAGGTTCGATTCCCGGAGGCTAACAGCTGTCTATAACTCGAGTTCCAGGGACTCCAGTGCCCTCTTCTGGCCTCCGAAGGCATTGCATGACACAAGTGCACTTACATACATGCAAGCAGTACACTCATACACAAAAAATTTTTTTTTTTTTTTTTTTTTTTTTTGGTCTTTTTGAGACAGGGTCTCTCTGTAGTCCCAGCTATCCTGGAACTCACTATGTAGACCAGGCTGGCCTTGAACTCACAGAGATCCGCCTGCCTCTGCCTCCTGAGTGCTGGGATTAAAGGTGTGTGCCACCATACCTGGCAAAATAATAAATTTTTCCTAAAAATGAGTCAGGGCTGGAGAGATGGCTCAGTGGTTAAGAACACTGATTGTTCTTGGAGAAGACCTGGGTTCAAATCCCAGCACCCACATGGCAGCTAACAGCTGTCCATAACTCCAGTCCCAGGGCATCTGACAGCCTCTTCTGACCTCCGCTGGCATTGCACAACACGGGTGCACTTAACCTGCATGCAGGCAATACACGCATACACATAAAATAAAAATAATAAATAAAAAAAATTTTAAAAAAATGAATCAGGGTCTGACTACGTTTCCCATACTGGACTTGAACTCACACTCTGTAGCCCAATCTGGGCTTGAACTTGCCATCCACCTGCCTCAACTTCCCAATTAGCTGGTGTTATAGGCCTGGGCCATCAGGCCTGTCTAGAGCCTCTTTTTCTTGGCCAGATGTAGACAGCATCTATATATAAACCTTTGGAGCCATCGTTTAATCTCAAGGGAGTTCTGGGTCACCTGTACGTTTTACCTCTCTTCTGCATCCTGAGGGGACATAGGAGTGTGGGGAATAGCAGTTCTGTGCAGGACTATGGGTTATGGAAGGTATGTAGTTCCTGAGACCCCCCCCTGGTCAGCTGAGCCCAAGAGGGACAGGAGCTAGCCAGTGAGTGCGTTCTCTGAGAACAAGTGTGTGTGGATGAACTTGGCTCTTACCTGTGTTCTAAATGTCATGTATTTTCTCTGTCTTGGCCTGAGACCCCCCACCATCCTGCTGGCAGATGGCTGTGTGATTCTCACGGGCTGTGGAATCCTTAGGATGGTTCACGGTGGTTGTTCTGCAAGCTAACCATCTACGCCTAACAATCCCATTGTCTGCAGCCACCAACACAGAACATGAACCTGGGACCTGGGGCGCTGAGTCAGAGTGGTTCCAGCCAGGGTCTGCACCCCCAGGGCAGCCTCAGCGATGCCATCAGCACAGGCCTGCCTCCTGCCTCCCTCATGCAAGGCCAGATTGGTAACGGTGAGCAGGTTTGCAGCAATGATGTCACCAGAGTAGTGGTGGATGGCTGACTGCCACAGCAGCCTACACCCAGCAGGGCTGGACATAGTGCCATCTCATTCTGTCCTGTCATGATGCCACCTGTGTCCCACATCCCCGTGTGTGTGTGAGCCTGGGATAAATGTGCAGAGGCCGTGACGCTCTGACTGCAGGTGTCAGCACTGCTTGACTGCGCTGCTTCACGGATTCCCTGTTGAAATGCTGCTGCAGCGGCGGCTTGAGGGCTTCTGGTAACGACCAGGCAGAGACCGTGGCATGCGGTATACGTCTTCTCACCAGTCGCTCACTTTATCCTCAGTGGCACTGACCATGGCTTAGCCTTTCTCCTCGAAATCACCTGCAGGGAGCTTGGGGTCTTTATCTAGAGGTGGTTATCTGGCCCCCAGCATCTCCCTCTCTCACGCTTCTCACAGGTCCAAACCATGTGTCCATGCAGCAGACGGCCCAGAGCACACTACCTACAACTTCCATGAGCATGTCGGGCAGTGGCCATGGTACTGGGCCTGGCTACAGCCACTCAGGACCCACCTCGCAGAGTGTCCCCATGCAAGGCCAAGGTGCCATCAGCAACTATGTGTCTCGGACCAACATCAACATGCAGTCCAACCCAGGTACTCCCCCTCCACCTGGCCCCCACTGTGAGGGCCAACCCCCAAACCTTTGCAGACACATGCAGCTTATCTGTGTGGCCCCCAAGGGCCAGCCTTCTGGTGGGTTTCCACAGGACAGGGTTGGTGGATAGCTGGTGACTCAGCCCTGAGTGGTTTCTCAGAGGCCTGGAGAAAGGCTCCAAGGAAAGGGTGCCACTGGCTGTGGGTCTGGACAGCACCGATCTCAGGTGGGGAGCCCTGGCGGGTCTGGACAGCACCGATCTCAGGTGGGGAGCCCTGGCTCCCATGTGGGGAGTCCTGGTGGGTCTGGACAGCACCGATCTCAGGTGGGGAGCCCTGGCTCCCATGTGGGGAGTCCTGGTGGGTCTGGACAGCACCGATCTCAGGTGGGGAACCCTGGCTCCCATGTAGGGAGTCCAGGTGGGTCTGGACAGCACCGATCTCAGGTGGGGAGCCCTGGCTCCCATGTGGGGAGTCCTGGTAGAGGTCAGATGTAGAAAGGCTATGAGCTACAGGGCTCATATAGCCGGGCTAGAGAGCCAGGCTTTCTGCAGAACGGGGTCCTAGAGCCAGGCTGTCCACAATGGTGAACACTGACCTGAGGTCATGATGCACTCGTGTTGTGGCAGGTCTGAACCGGATGTTCTCTTGAGTAATGACGACACCAGGTCTTAGAGGCATATTACGAAAAAGGACATGGAATGTCTCCTTAATATTTGCTATAATAATGATCTGAGCATTTATTTTGTAAACACTGACCTAAAGGTGTTTTATTAAAGCTCATTCACCTGTTATTTTTTCAGTGTGATTACTAGAAACTTACTTTTCTTTGGAGGGGCTGCTGGGAATGGAACCCAGAGCCTTGGGCACGCTGGGCAGCTGGGGATGCCATCTTTTCCCTTTTCATCTTGAGACAGGGTCTTGCTAAATTGCCGAGACTGACCTTGAACTCACTCTGTGAGCCAAGCTGCCCTTGAACTTACAATCCCCCTTCCTCAGCTCCCAAGTAGCTAGGGTGACAGGTGTGTTCCACCTGGCCTGGCTCCTCACAAGCTTCAAAACATATGCTTCCTGTTCTGTCTTTGCTGGCGATGCCTCTCCAGTAGGTTCTGAGCCAGCAGTGTATAGACAGGCCATCAGGCAAATGAAGCCTGCCCTAGCTGCAGGTCTGCTGTTCAGGAAGTGGTGAGGGGACAGTGGCACTCCTCCAGGACCAGTGACAGGGACAAGGACAGGATTCTAGTTTATGTTCAGAGCTTCGAGCTTCTTCTGTTTGTCCTGGGGGCCTGGATTAGCCTGCCTGGTGGCACTTACCTGTGTTAGCCAAATGTTGGCACCAGTGTCTGAGGTCTGACTAGTACCAAGGCACAGGTACAGCTCCTGTTGTCAGAGGTGTGGCTAGGAGTCAAGAGCACCAATCTTGTATGAATCATGAGAAACCGTAAGGCAGCTGCATTAGGAAGGATCGGGTTTGCAGGGGGAGCCCCACCCTGGAGCTTCCTTACGGTTATCTTGGGGTCTCTGTCCTGTCCCACAGTTTCCATGATGCACCAGCAGGCAGCTACATCCCACTACAACTCGGCACAGGGTGGGAGCCAGCACTACCAGGGTCAGTCACCCATCACCATGATGGGCCAGGGCAGCCAAGGGAGCAGCATGATGGGGCAGCGCCCTATGGCGCCCTACCGGCCCTCCCAGCAAGGTAAGGCTGAGGCCGATGGCAAAGAGCCGTGCTCTGTGTGTCTCTCCATGTTGACTCATGAGATTGGCTCCTTGGTGTGAGCAAGGATACTGGGACTGCCAGTGTGGCGGGGACCTGGAGGCAGGTGTTTGGGTTGGGGAGGCAGATGGTAGTTGTTCCCAGTACAAGTTCCAGGGTATTGAGAGTGGGGTTGGGATCAGAGAAGACAGAGAGCTGGTGGTTAAGTGGCCCCGGGTGTTTTCTTATGTGGGCAAGGCTACTTGGCACGGCCCTGTGAAGTATATCCCACTGCCTGTTGGTTCTGAGTGTCTGGCCATGCCTCATAGGGTCTTCCCAGCAGTACCTGGGCCAGGAGGAATACTACAGTGAACAGTACAGCCACAGCCAGGGTGCTGCGGAGCCCATGAGCCAGCAGTACTACCCAGACGGTAAGTGCGGCTGCCCGTGGTTCTTGGTTTACGTACCACTCAGGCCGAGTCCCTGTGTTCTGCCAGCGGCGTACCCCAAGCCCTTTCTACTTGAACACTTTGGAGTGGGCTGAGCTGGTCTCTGCCAAGGAAAGGTTTAGCACACGGTGCCACCCACATCTTTGGGGTGTCTCTGCCCCCCTTTCCCAGAAGGTAGCAGGAATCTGAGCTGGGATGGGGGGTGACCTATCATTGATGGGATGTTTAGCAAGGTGGGCCCAAACTCCCAGGCTCCTACCCTCACTTCTACAAATTTATCACCTTTCAGTCATTCTAGGACTTGTGAAAGTGGCATTTAAAGTGATCTTAAATGCTGGGCTGGTAACCCATGCCTATAATCCCAGGTCTCAGGAGGCCAAAGCAGAAGAACTGAAAATTTTGAGGATGGCTTGGTGGGCTCTATCAGGAGACCCTGGCTCAGAAAGCACATCTTAAAGTTGGATAGACTTGTTTTTGTTATCTTTATTTTATGCATACGAGTGTATTGCCTGCATGTATTTAAGTGCACCCATACCGTGCAATGCCTGTGGAGGTCAGAAGAGGGCATCAGATCCCCTGGAACTGGAGTTACGGACAGTTGTTACCTGCCATGTGGGTGGCTAGGGGTTGAACCTGGGTCTTCTGCAAGAGCAGCCGGTGCTCTTAACCTCTGAACCATCTCTCCAGCCCCCAAGTTGGGTAGATTTTGGGAGGCAAAGATGGAGGTCCCTGGGGGACATCTGGCCAAGGCCCTGGAGTAAGCTACAGCAGGAGGCAGGGTGCAAGGCTGGAAGTGGAGATAAGAGCAAAGTAGGTATCAGGGGCCAGCACTGTGGCAAGCCATGACACCTGCTGTGAGGTGGTGTCAGGTTGCAAAGGCCTACTCTCAGGAGCTGGGTAGGGACAGTAGACTGCAGCTGATGTAGTCTGGAAGTTGTGAGCAAACTTGATCCTTTGCACAACTTGCAGCAGCCATTGTTGATGGGAGGTATGAACTGACCTCTTTGTGTCAGAGAGACATCAGGGAGGGTCAGAGAGGGTGGGTTTGGCCAGCTCTGCCTCATCACCCTGGCTTGAGCTCACTGCTCCAAGGCGTGGTGGTCTACCCAGGAGCTGGGCAGGGAGGGGCCTCCCTTGACAACGGTCACCTGTTATTTTTTCAGGCCACGGCGACTACGCCTACCAACAGTCGTCTTACACAGAGCAGAGCTACGACCGCTCGTTCGAGGATTCCACACAGCACTACTATGAGGGGGGTAAGGCGCATGGGGAGGTGCATGCTGTGCCCCAGTGTGTAGGCACCATGTGGCACAACAGTTAAGATGCTGGGCGTGGTGTCACACACCTTTAATCCCAGCAAAGGCAGGCGGATCTCTGTGAGTTCAAGGCCAGCTGGGGCTACAGGGAAACCCTGTCTCCAAAAGACCAAAAAAAAAAAAAAAAGATGCCATACTCAGAACAGCAGTGTCGGCTCACCCAGGTCACTGATGGGCATCATGGAGCTGACAGAAGTTTGTGCGGTTGAATTTCCTTCTGGAAGCCAGAGACACCAGGCTGTGCACTAGGAGCTCACTTGCCCTATGTGTTTGGGAAACAAGAGAAGGTCCATCCGACCGTGTTGAAGAGATGGTATTGCTGGAAGACAAACTCTGCCGTCCTTCCAGCTGAACAGCCCTGGGCCTGCAGCTACATCCAGAGACATTTAGAAACAGTCATTCCATGGGGACCGAGGCCCCCAAGCCCTCCTGAGCCACAGGCAGGGAATGCCTGAGCATGACACACTGCATTGTGGGGCCCTAACGTTTCTTCAAACACTTGCTGGCCTGATGCTCGTCTTTCAGTGACAGGCTTATGGCCCCAGATGGAGAACTTTGATGGTACTTCAGTGAGCCTGGAGATCAGGGAGGGTGCAGCTGTGTGCTAGTGTGTGGCTCTGAGCAGAAAGCCCTGCTCTGTAGCACTTACCCACCTCTGTCGTATAGATGTGCCTGCCCTGGACGACTTGGAGCCACCAATGGGACCCCACGAACTGTGTAATTGGGAGGAGATACATAGTCAGGTCCTGAGCAGGGTGACGGTGATAGACCCACAGAACCTAGCACCTTGCCTGCCTCAGGTTCCAGTCTGCTAGTAAGGGAGTGAAAAGCAGTCAGTGAACAGGAAGCATGTGACCTACAAATGCAAATTCCTGGGAGACTTTAAAAACATTACTTATGGGGCTGGAGAGAGGGCTCAGTGGTTAAGAGCACTGGCTGCTCTTGCAGAGGACTGGGGTTTGGTACTCAGCACCTACATTGCAGCTAACAACCATCCATAACAACAGTTGTAGGGGATCCAATGCCCTCTTCTGACCTCTGCGGGTTTGCGTGCCCGGTTACACCTGCATACATGTAGGTATACATGTATGTATACATGTAGGTATACATGTACATTCACACCAAATTTTTTACAGTAAGTAAAAAATATTAGGATGGAGGTGGTGGTGCACATCTTTAATCCCGGCACTCAGGAGGCAGAGGAAGGTGGATCTCAGAGAAAAAGGCAGGCCTGGTCTACATATCAAGTTCTAGCTCACCTGGGGCTACAGTAAGACCCTGTCTCAAAAAAACAAAAAAAATTACTTGTGGTCAAGAAGCTCATGTAACAAAATGAACCTGTGGATGGCCTCAAACTCAAGCACTTCTCCTGCCTCTGCCTCCCAGTGCTGGGATTATAGGCATATGCTATCGCACATGGCAGAAGTAGGACTCATCTTACCCTTGGTTACGTGGTCCAGTGGCAGGAAGCATGCTCCACTGCCATGCACCCGTTGCACTGTCCGTCCTTGAACTCTCCGCTGATAGCACTGAAGCTCTGTCCCTGTGAAGCAGAACCCTCCTCCCCCTTCCCACCCTGGCACCCACTGTTCCCCTCCACCTCTGACTGCTCTGGGCACATTCTGAGTAGAATCGGTGTGTCCTCTTGTGACTGGCTTAACCACTCAGCACAGCGTCCGCAAGCTTCATGTCTTCATGGCACCTGTTGGGACTTCCTTCTCCGGAGGTAACGTGCTGTCCCATCCTGTGCATAACCCTCATTTCGCTATCACATTCCTCGACTCATGAACCTGCCTCTGAAACTGTCCTTGAGAAAAGCCCCCAGGTATTGCACCTCTGGTGCACTTGCAGGTTGCTGGTGTCCCACATCCACACCCGTATTTGCATGGTCTGTGGCGTGTCCTGTGTGGCTGGCTGCTCTGAGCTGTCAAAGCCAGGAGCGGAGCACCATGTCTGGGTGTGCTTTTTATGTAAAAATAGGAGAGACCTGTAAACCTTCGTTGCATTTTTGTGTATTCACACAGAACGTCTTAATCATCTTTATACCCCCTTTCCCATTGGCACCTCCCATAGCCCCCACCAGAATTCATATATTTTGTCATTTGTGTTAGGGCCTGTTGTGTCAAGTTAGTATGCCCAGACGTCCCTCAGTGTAAGCTCATCTTCTGGGGTCTAGTCAGCTTACCTAGAGTCCCTCCCTTTAAGAATGAGTGTGTAGGGGCTGGAGCGATAGCTCAGCGGTTAAGAACACTAGTTCTTGCAGAACACCCGGGTTCAAATCCCAGCACCCACATGGCAGCTAACACCTGTCCATAACTGCAGTCCCAGGGGATCTGACAGCCTCTTCTATCCTCCACGGACATTGCACGACATGGGTGCACTTACCTACATGCAGGCAATACACGCACACACATAAAA